TGGGATCGTTATCATCATCCTCACTGTCCATATCCTCCTTCTTATCAGCATCACTCGTCTGCTTATCTTCGTTCCATAAATTAACATCAGCAGGAGTACAAACAATGTTGGGATTCACTGTTTTCAATAAATCAACAACATCCAATGACACACTAATAACATTATCATTATTGGATCGCAAACGTTCTCTAATTACGCTTAAGGGGACATCGTCTTCTTCATCATCTTCATTATTGGTACAAAAGAGATTGTTCCAACATTTTTGAATAGTTTGCTGGTTAAGTTCATTCCAGGCCATATGTAAATCTAAAACAGCTTCTCGTAATGTTACTTTTTTTAAAGCCTCAGATGAGTTTTCAGGATTCTTTGATAAGACAGGCGAAAGTAGAAACTTCCTATAGTATAGTTTGGTGAATCTTATTATATTCTGGTACATCGGTTGAATTAACGGTGTTACGTTGGTCGGCATGTACATGACGAAAATTGACCCATCCCTGCTCCTCAGTTGTTGCTCGGGAGGATGACTTGGTGCATTATCCAATAGTAACAACGCTTTTATTGGAAGCTTCTGTTGTTTTAGGAAACCTTTTACCTGCAAATTGAAAACACATCTTCAAATTATGAATAGAGCATTTGTGATAATTGATTGTCATACCTGAGGGACAAAGCACCTGTGGAACCATTTCAGGAATATACTGCTAGTCATCCAAGCGGTTTTTGAACAGTCATAATCAACAGGGATATTAACATTTTTAAATGAGCGCGGATTCCGGGGCAGATTTTTCAAATGATGCAGCATAGGTTTTCTCTGGTAACATTTTCCAATAAAGGCCACTTTCATCTGCGTTGTAAATTTGCTCCATTCTTAAATCTAGCTCGGTAATTGTTTTCATCAATTTTTCTTTGAATGGTTGCACTAATTGTGGTTGTGCTGATAATTTTTCACCAGATATAGACAGCAGTCGAATTCCATATCTTGTTTTGAATCGTCGTAGCCAGCCATCACTAGCTACGAAATTTTCAGTTTCTTTCAGTTTTTCATTTAACAGTATCGCTCTCTGTTTAAGTACTTCGCCACTAACGGGGACATGATTTTCCCGTTGTTTTAAAAACCACTTATACAGGGAATTTTCCATTTTAGGTGCCTTCGCATTTTTTAAAGTTTTTATTTTTTCCGGATCTCCAAATGTATTGCACGTTTTTTGTAAAATTTGAGTTTTCATACGCTTAATTTTACAGATTTTTGCTTTCGATACTCCATATTTTTTTTGCTGTGTCACTCCCGCACCTAGTGCAACTTCGTCTATGATTTTCACTTTCTCACTCAACTTTAAACACTTTCTTTTATAGGATGTGGATGCATAGTCGTAAAATATATTAAAGCGTGCAATGTATTCACTTAAGTTCAAAAATGAAATACATACGTACGGATAAACGTATCCTAAACGATCATACGACTGACCGAGTTTGTCGTATTTTATCGCAGAGGTGAATCCCCTACACTCTACATCATAAATCGGGGACTCCCCGACGCCCGACATAAATCATTGAGGCTTCAGCATTTTACCGTCGCGCTGTTTCCGTGCGCCGAGAGTTGTTTACGTTATCGAGCATACACATTGTTTACGTTATCGCGCGTTCCGTTTGATCTTATAGAGCGAAGTTTGTGTTTACATTAGCGCAAGTTTTCATTATCCCGTGTTTACGTTATCGAGCGTCTGCTGTATTTGTACCGGTCCATAATTCCTTCAATTTTGACGATGGGTCCCATTTGAAGACCACAGAAACAACCCCATACTTGAACGTAGGATCAAATGGCTTGTTTTTAGGACGTCTTACCCATAAAAAGCCATCCGATGAAAATAAATTAAATTTACTTTCATCAGAAAATAATACAGAATTCCACCTTGTTTCTGACCAGTTCAAATGATCGTAAGCAAATTGAAGACGGGCGGTCCGATTTTTCTTGGAAATAAAGGGTTTTTTAGATGGTCTCCTTGCCAGTGTAGACACCAATATTTACTTCTTCAAGTTGAGCTTTTATGTCGAGAGCAAGTGTTTCAATTTTCCTATCAATACTATACTTGAATCCATTTCAAGTGAGACCAGACACAACAACCAGCACGCGTCGCTGGCATGATGGTCGTAGACACACGAACCGAGAAGGGTCGGACTCAAAACTATGGAAATATTAAGGTGATATTTCAGAACTAAATATTTGAAAACGAGACATCAGTAAATAATAACACAACACTACTGTCACAGAGTCAATAGAGGTGATTGAAAGTTAAGGGGGGCACAAAAAGTAATTATACATATGTGTTTGACAACATCAATATTTTTCACTTTCACTAGAAGAGCTGTCATCATAGATGTTGATAATTAGCGGTTCAATATGCCTTTCAATTATGTTGTCTAGCTCCCACCTCCACTTTCTCCTGAACATGCTTCACACATTTTAACCATTTTTCTGGTGTGATTCTCTGCAACGCAAGGTTGAACAGCTCTTTCACGTCGGAAAACCTGAATGTTGTGTTGTGTTCAGCAACAAAATTCTTTATATCTGCCCATATGAGCTCAATGGGGTTGAGCTCACAGTGGTAAGGAGGCAAACGAAGTACCATTTTATTGTGCGCTTTTGCCATCTCGTCCACTATATATTTATCATATTTTGCTGTGTGTTGTTTCACAAGATCTAGAAGTTGTAATTTCAACATAAACGTATCAAAAGGTATATTTTTTGCACGTAGCCAGTCCTGTATCTCTGATTTCTTAAAAGATGAATTTGGAATTTTTTCTAATTTCCGAGAATGATACGGAGCATTATCCAGGATCACCACAGAATTGTCTTTAAGACGTGGTAAAATGCCTAAAAACCAGTTTTCGAATGCTTCACCATTCATCTCTTCGTGGTAGTCAGTGTTTTTTTTTATTCAAAACACCATAGTCCTTCCTTCACGAAGCCATCTACACTCCCGATGTGGCAAATAATGAGCCTTTTTCCTTTGCCTATAAAGATAAAACTTGTTAAATACGGATGTACATTATATGTCTTTCACAAGAGTACTGAGGCCACGGAGATAGGGACACATTTCTGTATTTTATATACGATGCTATATTGTTTCTCATGATAGCGGGATGCTTGCGGTGAGATATATCGGACACTTCAACCAATGCATCATTTAATCTGTTGATGAATCTGGTTAGCTTAAAAAACAAAAAGAAACAGGCAACATCAATTAAACTAAAAATTATCAAGTGTGACAAACTTATCGAAAAATTTACAAATCAACGCAATGTCTGACGTTGTTAATTAACGTGTTACATTCCGTGACGGACGAGGTATGTTGTCTCTGCAACGCTCGCATTGCTGTAAAAAATCTTGTCATCGATACCATAAGAATTCCAACGTAGAATACATTGATTTCCAGAGTGAACATCCCCTCGTTTTTTCTAGATATCTGATAACATGTAATGCCTCATTTAAATCACTTTGGCTATGAAAAATTATCTAATAACTATTGTTGGATTTTCTAAAATGGAATGTCTGCATTACCAGTAGGGTTTTTAAGCCCAGTTGAAAGCCCATCTAAAAACGCTCTTCTTGCTGACGTTACTGTTTCGTCCACCCAAACTTTTGATTTTGTATGGCCAGCATTTATCCAGGAAGTAAATTCTACGGTTTTGGCTCCTGTATGTTTTTATTTTTGTCAAATACTCTCTCCTCCATAGTATAATTTCATCTCTATCCATCAATGAACTGTTTCGGCCCCTCTTCTGCCAATTGAAGTTGAGTTCCCTTAATAGCCTGTAGAACGTCGTTTTACTAAAATTCGGCAAATCTGAGTCTTCATTCACTACTTTCAAAATCTTATCAATTGTAGGAATTTCATTCTGGAAAAAGAATTCATGAACTTCTGGAAAAAGAATTCATGAACCTTCCTTCTGATCGCATGTCTGACAGCATCATCTATTTCTTTAATTTGGCTTTTACGGTTCTGATTCGTTTTAGGTGTGTGTCGGTAGAAGACATGGTCAAAAAACACCAGATATAACAGAACTTATAACAGCGATGCACTCGACGCCACGCCACGGCCTGATTACAACTCTGGTTTTGGTAGACATCAACGCGGCGCAACGGCGGGTTTTGTATTGCTACAGTCTAACTAGGTCTTAAAGAATGTTCGAAACTGCAGGTTTTCCAAATTCATGGAGTTTTATATTGGAGCCTCTTCAGGACATTGTATTTAACAAAAGCATCAATATGAGAGGCGGAAAGTTTAAAAAAAGAAAAATAAAAGCTACGAAATGAAACTATTAGTTGAGAAAGCAAGCCCTTCAAACTACAACTTCAAACCGCAAAATGCCTGAACTATAATGAGACCCTCTGCGGGAACATCGATCACGCTTCGAGTTTGCGATGTTGTGGTCTCACTTGGGCTGAATTTTAGTATAGGTGTGGTTTTTCGCGATCTATTAGTCTTAGGAGGGCTTAGGTTGCTTGTTTAATACCTGATCGATATTTTAAAATAATCAATTCTTTTATTTGCAAATTCAATGTAATTCCTCTGGCCATTTTTTTGAACTACACTTTACCAAATACACTCAAAAATAACACCTATTCTAATCAACGACTAAATATAAACTAAATATTTACAAAATGTTTCTCTACTTTTGCTAGGTGAACAAAAAACCGACCATATTATGTTGAAAAAAAAAGAATGTATACAAAGATAAGCATTTCATTATCTTGAGGTAGTTATACATAAAAACATAAGTGTACAGTTTTGGGTTAGAGTAAATCTTTCTGGATTTTTATTTGTAGTGTGGTTTGTTTCTCCACTTCTGCTCGGTACTGTACGTTTCCCGTATATCAGACAGACTTTCGAATATAACCGACTCCCGAGGCGAAAGGGTTAAAAATAATATTACATATATATTGTTAGATTATCCAATCCTTAGTACATATTAGTAATAGCCTACATTTGATTTCTTTACAGTTTCATCGAGGGACTGCGAGAAAAACTAACAAGTCTCTATCCTCTACACCTAAACGACACAAGAGTTATTAACCTGAGCACAAATGATACAGTTATTATTCAGTATCCAGGGGAAATCAGCTACCTGGAACTAGCTCCGATTTTTATTGCTTTCGTCTTAGTATTCCTTTACTATTTCTTCTCGGTCAGGAAGGTAGACATGATCAAATCCAAGCTGGGTATGGCCGCTACTGCGACCTTCACTGTGTTTTGCACCCTCACTAGTACAATGGGCATTTGTTTCTTTTTTGGCGTCACTTTGACGTCTGAAGGCAGCAAGGACATATTTCCGTATTTAATATTACTGGTGGGGCTAGAGAATGTTTTGGTGCTAACCAAAAGCGTTGCCTCAACCCCTTTGCATTTGGATGTCAAGATACGGAACGCACAAGGCTTGAGCAAAGAGGGATGGTGCATAACTAAGAACCTACTTTTAGAAATCACGGTGCTGACGTTTGGCCTGTTCACGTTTGTACCAGCCATTCAAGAATTCTGCATATTCTCAATAGTGGGTCTGGTAATGGACTTTTTCTTGCAACTTTTTTTCTTCCTGACCATCTTGGGATTGGATATTAGCAGGAGCGACAATTCAATCGAGAAGACTAGCCAAAGCTTCAGATCGGGATTGTACCAGACGCAGTATTTTTTTGAAAACCCGACAGCGAGAGGAATTAGCAGGTCAAAATCGCACCCTCGACTATCTTCGTTCCCTACGAACGTGATTGCGAATCAGACTCAGTCACAGGAAGAGAAAAAGATACCAAAAAGAGTTAGGCTCGTGAATATCTGGGCGAGAACGAGATTTTTCCAAAGATCCTTCATGTTATTAATGGTTTTCTGGATTAGTATGATATTGTATAAGAGTGATATTACAAGTCAGTACATGTCGAAGAACACCGAAGAAAACAGTACACCACTGGAGAGCTTTCCAACCATTACTGTGATGCCATTGTTGGATGCTAATAAAACTGTTGCTGTCAGTTATGTGACATATAATCCCGTGGATGCTCAAAGATCTGTGACGGTAAGTTAATAAATACAAAACGTATTATATTTGGTTTGGTAAACTATTCAAAAAGCCCTTTCAGTTGGTCCAGTTATTCAAAGGTTGGCCTGTCAAGTACAATAATGAAAGACTTCCAACATTTTGTTGGTGATAATGCGCTTAAGTTTTTTATACGCATCCAAATTAGGTACCTCTTGGAGCTGTAGAGGATGCTTATGAAACTAAGTGAGTTAACCCACAGTTTTCCAACAGCGTAGACGTTTTCTTTGCATAGTTTGTATACTAAGTGACATATAAATCCGAACACCCAGTTTAAATGGTTTTATTTTAATAAAAGTTGGTGAATGTATTTATCTTACTGTAAATACCAAGTGAAAAAATTTTCAGCCTTATCAGTTGCGACATTCCTGTTTTTATACAGCTTTTTTTTAATTCACTAACGCTCTAAAAATGAATATTTCAGCCGCAGTAAAGAATCAACGTTGGCGGATTTTGGCTCTTGACATCCTTTACGATCGGTTACGATGCCTAGAGTACGGAGACCTGTATGATTTCGTCAAGTTAGTGAGTTTGATAGGGGCCTTATAGTGGGACTTCGGGAAGCTGGACTTTCTTTTCGGGCAATTGCAGTTAGAGTGCAAAGAAGTGTAGACACTGTGGTTAGGTGTTGTCAGGCATGGCTTCGAGAAGGCCGTACGCAAAGAGCAAGGGGCACTGGACGCCGCCGTAGAACAACAGACCGTGAAGATCGCCGCCTAAGATTATTGGCCTTAAGGGACCGTTTCTCCACTACCAGGTCCATTGCAAATGAATGGTTTGCAGAACACGGAAGACCTATTGGCAAGTGTTTACCGACGAATGAGAAGTTTTGGCTTGTTTTCATACCGGCCACACTGGGTCCTCCCTTTAACTCGAGAACACCGACGTAATCGCCTTGAGTGGTGCAGACAACGGTCACTCTGGGATCAGGAATGGAACAGTATTGTCTTAAGTGACGAGTCTCGATTTTGTTTAGGCATGCACGATGGTCGTGCCAGGGTTAGAAGGCGACGTGGTGAAAGGAGGAATCCACAGTTTTTTGTTGAATGACATTTTCATCACATTGTTGGAGTTATGGTTTGGGGTGCTATAGCTTATGGTTCCAGGTCACCTTTAATCTTCATCAGAGGTAACATGAACGCGCAGCGTTATATCCACGAAGTTCTAGACCCATCTTTTACCCTATCTTGACACCCTGGCAGATCCAACTTTCCAACAAGATAATGCCCGACCACATGTTGCAAGAGTCACAATAGACTTCTTTCAACATAATGATGTCACATTGTTACCATGGCCACCAAGATCTCCCGACGTATCCCCAATTGAGCACGTGTGGGATATGATGGGTAGGAGATTGCTCAATTTGCAACGTCCTCTTCAGACTCTAGAAGCACTTCGAGAGGAGTTGGTGGTTGCCTGGAATGAGATACCACAGGAGGACATTGACCACCTGATCAGAAGCATGCCTAGGCGCGTTGGAGAATGCGTAGCACATCAGGGTGCATCCACACATTATTAAAGGTCAAAGGGCTTTAAAGCAGTGCAATCATTTTGAAATTTTTATCATTTACTTATTATGCTTCATTAAGTACTTATACAAAATTTTATTAAAATAAAACCATTTAAACTGGGTGTTCGGATTTATATGTCACTTAGTATATAATTTGTATTATGCCAGCATGACTCGAAGGTAATCTCCCTTTTCAAAGCAATGCCATTTCAATAATATTTTGTTAGGCTTCAACATTATTGTTAGTTAATAATGTACACATCTAAGATATATGTTTTCAAAAATTATCTGCTCTGATCCGACATAGTGTTTCTGAAATTTTATCAAAGTAATATAAAACAAAATACAGGGTTTAAACGTTATGTTAGTCATTATTTAAATGGCTGATAGAGGCGGTTAAAAGAAGCAAACAGTTTCATATAACTGTGGGGTTAAAACGGCATTTTTTTAGAGAAAAGCGACTTTAAAGTTAAATAAAATCTGACAACACCGCAATGCCAGACGCAAATTACGACGGAACGCAGTGTAAATAAAGATTAAGTTTGTTATTTTTGGCTCTTAGGTATTAATTCATTATTTGATAATGTACTCGTAAAATGCAAACAATTAAAAAAACGGACTTACCACTGTCTCAGTGCTTCACCTGGTGTGTGAAAGTTTATTGAACGTATTAAAAAAATCCTCTTATAAATAGGGAACACAATTTTGATACATGCATTTTTTTCTTTTTAAAACCCACACTGCACTTTTTTGTATTTGAAGAAGGTGTTCAAAATGTCGTCCTCCACTTTCCACACGGCCTTCACGAATGGTATGAGGATTTTCTTGGGTCCTCGTGTGAGGATTATGGAGATTTAATATCCCGACTCGCGTAAAAGTACATTCATCGGTCGCTAGAATGTTTTTAAAAAAATCCGGATTTTCAATGTTTTTGTGCAAAAACTATTGAGACAATGTCAGTCTGCGAGGATAGTCTTCTGGTAACAAGGAACGCACTCGTTGTACATGGTGGAGATAAAGCAAATTTTTCCGTAGGATCCTATGGACTATGGTACGCGATAGTCCTACGCGTTGGCCTAATTCCCGAGTGCCGATGTCTGCATTGATTTCCACGATATTTAAAATTTGTTCCTCCAGCTCTACAGTAACCTGTCTTTCACGAGTGCAAAAATATTACTGGACTGAACACTTCCTGTATCTCGAAGTCTTTGGTACACTTGCACAAATGTCCTTCTGTCTGGGTGTACCCGTTGGCGAAATCTGTCACGATAAATTTGAGCTGCAAGATTTGAATTCTGACGAGCTTCACCGTAAACTAACAACATGTCGGCGAACTCTTGATTCGAGAACATTGTAAATAAACACGACGACGTACGCGAACAAAAACAAAACAGCACGCCCGAACCACTGTTACCGTTTGCGATCAATTACCAGTTCGATAAGAGTGATGAAAGACCGACGGGCTGTTATGTGTGTTTTAAATATTTAATTTGATGAAACTTACTGACTACAAATTTTGGCTTAACTTAGAAAAACTTAATGCCATTTATTTGTTAATTATTAATATAATATAATTTAAAACATTTTAGATTAGATTTTAAAAATTAGTAAGATTGTGGTCCGTAGGTGGTAGACGCGGTCTCTGACTGCCGAACATGGAGGTACCACCCGGCGGATCTCGTAGGCGGAGCCAGAATGTGTGCATGTTGCATCCACACGTGTTCCCTCGCCAGAGTCCGTGTAGCGTCCCCCCCCTTTCCCCTGTATCCCCCTATAGCCCCACCGTACCCAATGGGTGTTTAGGCCTTAGGCCTTCGTGGAAGTTGGAGTATAAAATAAAAAAAAAACGTAACGCTTAACTATTTCAGTAATGACTACCATAACGTTTACACCCTGTATAGTCAATCATACGTGTATTACTGGTTTCCGGTTTGCAAGTTTGCATTGTCTATGGCGTGCGAAAAACTGTTTAATCGCAATACAAGTACACATAATGTGAAAAAGCATCTATTTCTCCAGATTTAAAAAAAAATAAAGAAAAAAGGAGCTTTGTGGATTCGAAAATCCGGCCTGAGGTTCTGCAATCTTTATTCTTTCCCATTACACTACGACGCCTCTTGGTTTACTGGATCTGCATACCATTATACTTGTCACTGACAAATGTCAAGCGAACGTTGGCGCATATCAAATATGTTTTAAATAATTAGAATATTCTTGAAAACTATACAAGATACAATGCTGGAACTTTAAATAATGTATTAGGGACGAATACCAAGTATTTTGCCTAATTTTTTAGACCTTCAGTTCGCTACAATTGGTTTATATTTGTCTACTGTTTTTTCGTTTTCTCGAGTTTATTTTACAACATTTTGAACTCGCAGTCGTTTTCGAACGAGACGTATACTATATCAATATACTAAGTGACATATAAATCCGAACACCCAGTTTGAATGGTTTTATTTTAATAAAATTTTGTATAAGTACTTAATGAAGCATAATAAGTAAATGATAAAAATTTCAAAATGATTGTACTGCTTTAAAGCCCTTTGACCTTTAATGATGTGTGGATGCACCCTGATGTGCTACGCATTCTCCAACGCGCCTAGGCATGCTTCTGATCAGGTGGTCAATGTCCTCCTGTGGTATCTCATTCCAGGCAACCACCAACTCCTCTCGAAGTGCTTCCAGAGTCTGAGGAGGACGTTGCAAATTGAGCAATCTCCTACCCATCATATCCCACACGTGCTCAATTGGGGATAAGTCGGGAGATCTTGGTGGTCATGGTAACAATATGACATCATTATGTTGAAAGAAGACTATTGTGACTCTTGCAACATGTGGTCGGGCATTATCTTGTTGGAAAGTTGGATCTGCCAGGGTGTCAAGATAGGGTAAAAGATGGGGTTCTAGAACTTCGTGGATATAACGCTGCGCGTTCATGTTACCTCTGATGAAGATTAAAGGTGACCTGGAACCATAAGCTATAGCACCCCAAACCATAACTCCAACAGTGTGATGAACATGTCTTTCAACAAAAAACTGTGGATACCTCCTTTCACCACGTCGCCTTCTTACCCTGGCACGACCATCGTGCATGCCTAAACAAAATCGAGACTCGTCACTAAAGACAATACTGTTCCATTCCTGATCCCAGAGTGACCGTTGTCAGCACCACTCAAGGCGATTACGTCGGTGTTCTTGAGTTAAAGGGAGGACCCAGTGTGGCCGGTATGAAAACAAGCCAAAACTTCTCATTCGTCGGTAAACACTTCGCATGCCAATAGGTCTTCCGTGTTCTGCAAACCATTCATTTGCAATGGACCTGGTAGTGGAGAAACGGTCCCTTAAGGCCAATAATCTTAGGCGGCGATCTTCACGGTCTGTTGTTCTACGGCGGCGTCCAGTGCCCCTTGCTCTTTGCGTACGGCCTTCTCGAAGCCATGCCTTAAAAAAAAGCAGTATAAACACC